GGCTTTGAACAACTGCATAAAGCTACACTTGAGATCGAGGACCAGTTGCTGTGCTCTGGGGTCATGGAGGAAGCAGGAGACATGTTTAATGATCTTAGGACCTCGTCTGAGTCCTTTCAGCAGAAACTCAGACAGGTCACTATCAAAGTCAAACGCAAAAAATGCAAAATGCCCGGCAAATGACATTGCACGACACGAAATAAATTGCGTACATATCTGGGATGCGTACTTAATCGGGAGGCTAATGTACAAGGGAAAAGCTCGGGTCAATAAATAGTACTCGAGCTATGCTAAACAATGAATAGCATCCAGAAATCGCCGAAATCTTCGCTGTCTTGCTAATGCCAAGCCTTAAAGCAGAACAAAAGCCTGCGCGGAGCGCATATCATTAGATTTTTAGTCCTTCTGGCACCGACAAGACTATTGAGATCAATACTTTGAGAGTTAATTTATTTGCTGTAACATACAACGCGATCAAGGAGGAAAAACAGAAGAGATTTTCTAACAAAGCTGACGGAATTTATTCATGCCGAAGATGCCGGGAACTCAACTCACGCTATCTACACAATGGAAAATATCCGAATGTTGAGCTATTATGATCTCGCTTCCGCGGGTTTAATCTCTGCAGCCCAATATCACACACTTGTATCAACAACTATCATTAGCTCCACGCCTGTTTTGAAATATTCAGACTATGCTTGATATTCATGTATTCGAGGATCTGTGATGTCTGATTCAATAACATAAGTGATCTAGTATTATTACCACCACAAAAGCTTACAGTAAACGTTTTTTTATCCGAATCAGCATCTTTATGGAGAGTTTTTGATTCTTAGAGTATTAGTAGTTGAAGATCTGCAACACCGAAAAACTGTCGATCAGAAAAATTACAATGACGTCCATTTACGACAAGCTGAACGAGAAAAAGTGTTTGACCTCACACAAGCTGGAAAATTCTATTGGACACCAGCTCAAGACTGGACAAAATTCATACTGATTGATAGTGAACGATGTCAGCTCTTTTTTGCACCACTTCACAGTTGGCCAGATCGCGTAGAAGTAACTTCAAGGAGATACAGTCTAAACCAGCACCAGCAACCATGGGAGCAGTGAACAGCGTGCGCAAACTGACGGTCGATAGTCTTGCGCTGTTGGAGCAGCTGGAGCCCAACACAGCTGAGTTAGTGGCTAAAAGTGCTGTACGGCTTCGTGTGCAGCAATTGCTTCAGCAGAAGTGGCCGACGTGCCGAGTCCTTCCTTTTGGGTCTTCTGAAAGGTATGACTGATCAATCAAATAGACAAAAATCGTGGCGATTCACGATCAGATTGCAAATAGTGGTCTTGGCTTCGGTGGGTGTGATGTTGACCTCGGTATATACTTCGAAGACGTGGATGTAGACGCACAGGGTCAATATTTACCTCAAGAACGTATCAATCTACTTACTTCGGCATGTGAGCATCTATCTGGGGTATATGAAGTGCAGCAATTCGTTCGCAATGCTCGTGTGCCGGTGATCAAACTCTGGGACCCAAAGCAGCAGGTAGCCACCACTTCGCTGTGTCATATGCTTTGTCAGAACAATATCGCTGATTTTGCTTTTGTGTTGCTGCAGGTGGCTTTTGACGTGTGTGTTGGAGGCATCAATGCATTGCTAAACACAGCTTTTCTCAAGCATTTTGGCTGGATGGATCCACGAGTGCGTCCACTGGTATTCGCTGTCAAGTTTTGGGCCAAACAACGCGGCATAAATGATTCGGTCAATGGAATGCTGAGCTCGTACGGTAAGTTTGGTAAAGGCATTATAAAGCTGTGTTGTTTGCTAATTTGTTTAACAACATAACAGGCTATACTCTGCTTCTGATTTTCTATTTGCAATCGCAACATGCAGAAATGCAGCTCCCAATGGCACTCGCGCATTTCTACAATCTGCAATCACAAAAGAAACTATCCGTGCTACTTGAGGGTCTGCAGTCATTTCCGGCGATGGATTCACCGTCGACTTATGGGATATCGGAGATGGAATCGGTCGGAGCTCTACTCGCAGGTTTCTTCGATTTCTTCGCATATCGCTTTAACATGGAGGATGAAGTGGTGAGTATTCGCATGGGTAAGGCAGTGTCAAAGACGACCAAGTGGAGTCACCCGTCGTCTTGGCGACTTAGTATTGAGGATCCGTTTGAGCTGGCTCATGATGTAGGGCGTGTAATTTTTCACAGAAAGGGCCAAGAAATTATTCATTCGGAGTTTAAGCGTGCAAGCACGCTACTCAGTAAAAATTACCGACTTGCAGACATCTGCGTACCTGACCACAGCTCGTGGAACATTGTTTCGTCATGCTACATTTGTTGTTGCAAGGGCCACGTCACGCGACGCTGTGGACAGTTAGTGCGTCGGCATTCAAGCAGTGTAACATCTACCTTTTCGGACTGCTGGTACTGTGGTGACCATGGTCACTACAAGGCGGAGTGTCCGATGCTCTTTTTTCGTAGCATTCCTTGTCTGATCAAAGCGGCCGACGACTATAAGATTCTGGCAAAAGCCACATCAAAACCAAAATGTGAAACGATATCTTTATCGCTCGTGGGAATTGCAAAGGCACCAACGTCCATTCTTATCCCAGTACCTTCTTTTCCGAAAGCGCCATGGTCAAAAGTATGCACGGATCGTATCTCAGAGCGAGGACTCACTCCGCTTAGCTCCCCGATGCTCCGCTTATCGAAGAAGAAAAAACGTGCGCGCCACAGTCCCTCTACGTTTACGTTTTGTTCCTCGCCTTTGTCAATGTCAAAGTTGGCACCCATCGGCGTATCGCAGACTGAAAAGCGTCAACAGCAGCAGCGCTATCAGCAGCGCTATCAGCAGCAGCGACTAGAGCAGCGACGCCGCAATTTTGCACTTCATGAGCTGACAAGGAGATGCGCGAGCAGCGCTCGAAGTGATAGGCCTCAGGTGATAAAGCTACTGTGTCCAACATAATGATTAGAAAACTTCATCTTATACATCAGGACGAAATGCTGAATCAAACTGGCTCTATCATAGGTCAGGCATAGATAAACCGATGATACAAATATACCACAAATATACCTTGTAACGCAAATACGGTCATTTAATTGGCGCAGAGGCACATGTGCGTCACCTGAAATTTGAAGATATTATTTTGTATGATAATTTATTGAATCATGCTAGTAAAATTTTTTGAGGAGGTGGAGAAATCTAAAACTTCGTATAAACTATAAGTACCACCCACCATCACTATTCTGTTTTCTGTACAAGTTGCAAATCCAAAAGTTTGTGAAAGTATTATTTAAACGATGGGTTTACTGCAAAAGGTGATACAAATGTGATACAATTGTGTTCTAAACACTAAAAATACGAGACCTGGTAAAATTACCGAGTGTAGCCATTCTTGGTTCACCGTTACATTGAAGGCGTGTGCCATGGAGATGGAGGAACTCAAGCAGAAGAGATGGACTAACGGCAAGGAGGCTGTCCGAGCAATGAAAGATGTCGCACTAGCACAAGGGAAGTGTGCAATCGTCATCAATAGAGGGGGGACGTTTCGTTTATTACAGTGTGACAGCGCAGCTATTCGTTGTGAGTGGCACGTTCGTCTAGCACGATTTCGATCCAAAAGTCACCCAGGAGACTGGCATGTGACGGGAGGCAACCCCGTCACAGTATCTTGTTTAGTGACTAGTTTGGACTGAATTTTCCTGACTTTGGGACTTTGAAATTGAACGTTAGCGGCCTAGTTCCGAGTTGCGACGTTGTGGTATAGGTAGCTAGCTACATGATGTGGTAATCTGCTTGTGAATTATGGAGGACAAATGATCCACTCCAT